CGTGAAGTTGAGCCAAAAAAAGGCTCAGCTTGAGCCCAATGCAGCAGTTTTCCCAGAAGAGGGAATGTCGTTTGAAATTGCTTTTTCCCCGACGGGCAAGTTGAGCCAAACAAACGCACCTTCCTGACAGATAGGTCGAACCAATTTCTTGATCAGACAAGCAGGTTGCAACCAAAAACACATTGACCATTTTCCTGGCAGACAGGCTGAACCAAGCAGGTCCCTTGACAGCTTTCCCCAAAAATGATTGAGCCCAACAGTTCCTGAAATCACGTGTGCCGATATGAAGAAGTTTATGAGCCAATATCAAGAAATTGATAATTGTAAGGGTTACAAGATATGATCTAAATCACAATTATTCAGAGTGATATAGAAACTCAATATAGCAAATATTCACAGTGTTTTGCTCAAACATGTCAACTATTCAGAATGTGATATAACTCAAACACCTCAACATTGAGCGCGTAGTTTCAATTCAATATGTCATGTGCTATATTAAGATCATTATTGTTAAGTCTGATTCAGTTAAGCCATGTTTTCCGCATCTGCGATTGTCTCAGGTGTAGCGCCGCAGCTTCGACAGTATCCTCATTGCCACCTTCGGTGCGCCCACTGCTCGGCGCCTCAGAACTCCCTCTTGTCATTCATGCGAAGCTTGGGAGGTTCTGATACACTTCCAGGGAAAATGGCCCCAGCACGTCCGACATGTTCGTGGCTTCGGGGAAACTTGTGCGTCTTTGCTGGAATGCATAAGTCGGGCAAGACAACAGCTGGAAACGCGTGTCTGATTTGATTCTTGCAGCCAACTCTAGACGAGCTCTTACAGCCCCTCTGCAAGTCGCCTACTTTGGCTGACGCTGCGCCGATGCCTAAGTCGGGCTAGACAACAGCTGGAAACACGTGTCTGGTTTGATTCTTGCAGCCAACTCTAAACGAGCTCTTACAGCTCCTGTGCAAATCGCCTACTTTGCCTGATGCTGCGCCGAAGCAACAAAACGCAATGTCTCCGCAACAGCCGAGGCGCTGGTAGTGCTGCCATTCCAGAAAAGCAGCGCCCTCTGAGAGCAATTCAAGAAATCATTATTGTGCTTAATTCGGAACTTGCGGCCAACCACGGACTTCTCGTCGAACGCCACAGTGATCTGCCGAGAGACAGTCTTTCCGTCGCGCGCTTTGCGCCCACGGTCGGCTGCGCGACGGTCCTTGCCCATGCCGAACAAGTTCACGACTGTCACGTCCGTCTTCCGGCAGCCGTCGATCATCACCAAGATGTCGCCAGGCGGCAATAGCCCTGGGCTGTCAGGGTCCTCGCGGATTGCTTGGAGTTCCACATCTTCGCTACCACTGTGCTCTGCAGAGGCGCCGTCTGATGGCTGTGATTGCTTCTCCAAAGTTGTTGGATTCCAGTAGATAACCACATTGTTTCCGTTCTGGGCCCAGATCTTTGAGGTTGCGTATTTGCTCATGGCATTCTGAAGCTGGGTCTGCTTGAGCCCTTTCTCTACAACCAACACCACGTTCTTGGCAATGATGCTGTCAGCCATGGCAAGCCAGCCATCTGACACACCGAGCCCAGTTCAATGCCTGGCGCGGGGGGGGGGGGGGTAGGGGGGTGAAATCATAAACTGCCAAGGTTGCAAAAACGTCAACAAGCCGTTGCGACATAAACTGCGGTAAAATGGCGGTGCTAAGACAAGGCGCCTTCTTCATGCAAAACTTGCAGTCCTTAGGCTTTGTCAAGGTGGATCGAAGTTGCTCAGCTTCCTGCCGGCGCTTGACTCGACTAAATAAATCACAGCGAGCTCTTGGTCTTGCAGTCTTTGGGCCTCGAAGTGGGCGGAGGCTTTTCAATTTTGGCCTGACACGCTTGACTGACCATGACATGGCAAGCTCTTGACTGACAGCGCCTCGACTTTGGCGACCAAGTTTTCTTGACCAGGCTGACGGTCTGGTGGGAAGCTGAGAGTGGCTGATGATGGGAAGCCCTGCCTGGCTCTTGATCTTCACTTTGGCCTCCAGGCCATCTATGAACTGCGCCTGTCCAAGACAGGAAGAACTTGCCACAAACAGGAAAGACAGCCCTGTCACTGCTGGCCTGCTTCGCCAACAAGCTTTCCCTCGCCATGAGATGTTGCCCGCCTGCCAAGTGACCAGATTCAATCCCGCATGACGATCAATACCTCAGCAAACAGGGGCCTGCTCCTTTGCTGCTCGAGCTTTTTTGTTGGCATGGTATCTGCGATTAGTCTCTGACTGCAGATCCTGCATCACCTCATCATACTCCTCGTCCTTCTGGCGCAGCTCCTCCAATTCAGTCTTCTCCCGCATTGCTTGCCTCTGTGCTCTTTGAAGCTCCTCCTCATGCCGCTCCTTCTGGGCCTTCATTTACAGCCTGCATGTCCGAGTTCACGGCAAGTTTCTGGGAAACGGCTTTGAAGCTCCGAAGCTCGCGCACATCCTGGCTCCAATTCCGGTTCCATGTCGCCGGCGCTGACTTCGCATCCTTGGGCTCGCCCACCTCGGCCACCATTTTCGATTTCGGGTCGAAGTCCGGCTCCGCTGGCCTTGCGGATGGAGGTGCGCCGGCTCTGCTGGCCTTGCAGATCCAGGTGGCGCCGGACCCGGTGTCGACATGACTACGAGTGTCTATAGACTAAGCAAGTGCTTCGTTTGCGCCGCTCTGGAAAGAAATCTTTCAGCCCGAAAGGTTACTTGGGCGGCTGGTGGGTTTTAACACGTGTTTGCATGCCCAACCCAACTCACTCACTCACACACAGACACACGCGCGCAGTTGGAACTGCTGAGGCTTGCAGATCGCTTCGCCCTGAGGCCGGGGCCAGTGTAACGGAAGACCCAGACCATCCAAACTGAAGACCACCCAGACCTGAACTGCACACAAGAGTTCCAAACAAGAGTTCCAAACAGGTAGAACTGCAAGAGTTCGAAACACATAGAACTTCAAGGTGAGTCACAGGGCCATGAGGATTGATTGGCTCAGCTTCAACGATGACGGCGTCGCCACGGAATGGTACGCGAACCTCGGCACGGATCTACAGGCTGGAGCGTCAGTGACAATCCTCCGACAGTCCTTTATCATTGTACTGACAAACGTGACTTTTCCAGTATCATGAAGTATGGACTTGTTCCGGGAGGCGGCGAGCACCGCGAGACAGGCAGGCCGCACGTGTACTTCGCAGACAAGCCCAGTACCAGCAAGAATTACATCTCTGGTGTCCGCGCCGACAGACCGCTGGAAATCCAGGTGGAGTGTCGAATGGCGATAAAGGCTGGCCTGGTATTTTTCAGGACAGAGAGCGACGGCATCCTGACCAGGGACAAGGTCCGCAACTACACGATCCTCTCGGTCTTGGATGCCACCAACGGCGACGTCTGGTACACGCGCTCCAAGCAGTCGGACGCAGCAGAGAGCGCACCGGTTGCCGAGGAGGAGCAGCAGGGTATGAAAAGAGAGCAGGCGGTTATGGACGACAGAAGCACAGCCCTGGAGAAGATTGCCGCCACAAGGACCATGCAACTTCGCCTCGCGCCTCGCAAGGGGATGCTAAGCGTCAGAAGACCTTTAACCCCATGGAGAACGTCGAGCTCAAGTGTGCAAAATGTCCGGTACGCAACAATGAGATTTTTGAGGGCCAGATCAACTGCAATACTTGTGGTCAGCTCTCACCTCTCAATCCCCGTCTTCTCAAAGATCAGCAGCGCAACTACATCAAGCGGCGCTCAGAGCTTTTGAAGAACATGGGCGTGAGCACGAATGTGACTGCTTAGGTATTGGCGTCAGTCGGCACGTCCGACCTCCGCGAGGAGGATCGCATTGTGAGAGGCTTGAACTCCCCTGACTCCCTGACAGCTCGGTCATCCAGGAGGCCCGGAAAAGCTGAAGCCCGCCTTGACCGGTACGAGCTTGACACGCAGTACCGCGTCCGTATGATTGAAGCGGGCCGCCGTGAGGCGGATATGCTCAGAATGGAGCTCTCAGCTAACCTCGTCCTCGCAGCTCCGAAGCAGTCACAGGCTCAGAAAACTCTTGGGGTCGGATTGGGACAACTTCCGACACGCGAATCGCAAGGCTCGCGTACATCAGGACTGAGCTTGAGTTCATGGTTCCTCAGCTGAAAGATGCGCTGACGTCACGGTGGATATGTTTCAGGGCACGCCGTACTACGCAGGTGGTTCTCGAACAAGACAAGCCCCGCAGCATTGGTTGCTGGAATGGCGTGATGAACCTCACCGGCCCGGTGTCACCGGCACCAATGAGGCGCAGCTCCAACGCGAATTGGATTGGGTTTTCCGTCAGAACGAGCGGGCAGCATGGAATTCGGTGGAGTTCGCGAGGAACGAAAGCGACAAACACCTCGCGAAGAACGCTGCGCGTCACTCAGCGGGCTATTCAGCTCCCGCCGCCCGCGAGGGTGAGCAGTGGCAGAGCTCGTACTGGCATGATTGGTCCAACGATGAATGGAGCACATGGGGCGGTAGCAGCGGCAGTGGCCGACAGTCTACCTGGCGGTGGCGTTAAGCGCATCCGTCACGGATGTGCATGTTACCCCGACCGTCTTCCCTCTGTTGTGTTTCTGTTTGGCTGCTTTGTGAAAGGCCCCTTTAACACGCAAAGGGGGGTGAAGAATTCAATCGGTCAGTTTGGGGGTTAACATCAATTGCATCCGCAGTGTGGCTGTTCAAGCGAGAAAATGTGCGAGCAGCGCACTTGGACGGTTTGTTGTTTCCTTTTGGGCCCCAAACCGGAAACCCTCGAATCTATAGTATGGGTCAAGATTAAGCCACCAGGAATTGGACCGCAGGTTTTAGTGCTTATTTTTGACCCACAGCCATGTATGTTGCTCCCATATCACAGGACCTGAGGTTCGGTCAATTAGCAGTGCGGCCCATTTATGAGGAACACACAAAACTCACCCAGAAACCGTTTCTCATGTCCTGCGGGTGAAACCTTCGTCATTTTGTCTATGGCTCACCTGACGCAGGCTCTGGATGTGCTGGTTTCCTGCTATCCTGCAACTATGTCCGCAACTGCTGCGCCAAGTTGGCCCCTTTGACTTGACAACGGGTCGCATGTGAGACCTCGCTTGCGCAGGCTCAACGCCTTGGGGGGCTGTCCAACGGTTGAAAACACGGACATGATTTTGCGATAGGTGGGGTTTTGCTTTCCTCTTTTTGGTGTACGCATATATGATGCTAGTTGTTAATGATAAGGGGCGGGCTTCTTTGACACGGCCGAGTAAGGAACAGCTCCCTACCCAAGCCTGGGGCCCCTGCCTTTTCGCAAGCCTCTCCCCAACTCGCCTTTAACATCCAGCAGGGGTTGCCGTGAAGTGATGACTACTGTAGCCTTTCAAAGCCACGCATCAGGTCCTTTACTCTTTCACCGACAAGCTTCGAAGTGTGCAGCCCCCCTACCCCTTGTGCGAAGGAAAGCTTTGGTTTTCCGAAATGAGATGAATACATCATCAATATATCACCAATTTGTGTTCGAGGGTCATGTCAACATTCGATACTTGATCGCTTTCAAACAAAGTGTTTTTCCCCTTTGGAGCGGGGTGGAGTATCACTAGAGGCACTTGTTTTATTGTTTGTCACGAGTCTCAACGGGGATTCGTTCTGAAGCAATCTGGACAAGTTATAATAAGCCAGGCATAGAACAAACGCGATGTCCTGCAGGGCTTTCCAGTTGGGAATTGCAGTTCCCTTTTCAGCTGCTATGTCCTAGGACTGGTTTCCCCTATTTGGTATCAGGGTACTCATACATCTGTTCAAATGCCAACAGACCCTTTGCGAATGTCGCTGCTGTACAGTGGCATGTTGGTCCTAATGTGTATTGCAAAGGCTTGGGACTTACGGTGCGGTTGCCTTGTTTGATGATTTGGTTCGCTTGGTGCTATCGGCACAGAACTTTTCCAGAAATCTTGAAGAGCACCACAAAAGGGCGATGAAGCATTTCTGCCCACAACTAGCAGCTTCAAAGTTGTTGCGACGTGTGTGTGTGTGTGTGTGAGTGACTGAGTGAGGCGAGGTGAGCTGAGCTGAGCTGAGCTGACAGAGCTGAGGTGAGGTCAGGTGAGGTGAGGTGAGGTGAGTGAGTGAGAAGCCATGTTTCTCGAGGGTACTTGCGACATGGTAGAACATAAACCCTCGTCGTTGGAGGACATTAATGTTAAGGGTATTTGCCCATGGGGTCCCGACCTCTACCACCAATTCATGAGGTGGGCAGGTGTCAAAATAAGGGTGGACCCTGCAAATGGTGGTGTTCCTTTCAGGTTCCCCTTCAACCCAAATGAAAACGGTTTCCTGAAATTTCACATATCACAGAAAACCATGTCTTTGTCCTTTTGGTGTTCCCTGATAACCAAAACACACACATACACATACACGTACACATATACACACACACACACATGCGCACACGGGGGTTGATCAAGATTCCCTTCAGCCCCAAATAACCATGGGTATGGTTCTCATTTTTTGGGGAGTCTCATGTTTTTGCTGGTTTTCCCCACTGGCCATCCCATGTATCACGGACCTTTTTATCAACACCCATATGCACCTTCACAGGCAAACACGACTTGTTGTCTTCCCTTATGCCCAAAGCACGCACATATACAAACACATATACAGATATACACATACACAGATATACATATACACACACACACACAGATATATGCAAATATGTAGACATACACGTACATACGTACACATATACACATATACACCTATATACACATATATACACATACACACATACACGTACACGTATACACATACACAGCCACTGAGGTGCAGCGCGAGAAGAACTTGATCTTTCGGCTCCAGGCCTTCAGCAGCTTTTTGCTGGTGCTGCACCTGGAATTCCTGGGGCACCCCTGCTGCAGATGTATTGCGCCCGCGGATGCCGATTTTGTTTTTTTTTGTGTGCGGGGGGGGGGAGGGAAACACAGGCACATGTGTTGCGTTTCCGTCTTTTGTTTCCTGTTTTGTGGGGGGGGGGGTTTGAAAGGGAAGACAGGAACATGTTTTTTTGTGAGAGGGGGGGGGGGTTAAAAGATAAACCAAGAGGAAAGCCGAAATCCGTTTGGGTACCCAAGAAAAAGTGTTAAAGGGAAGACAGGAAAGGCTTGAAGTTCGTTTTGGGGGCACCATTTTTTTCAAAGAGAGCAGATGTGGATTTGGCGGTTCATGAAAAAGTTGTGTTATGTAATTACACATGTAACTACCTACCTCTGGCAGAATATGTTTCTTGGACATTGGGTTTTTTGGATACATTGGCAAAGCTACGGAGAAGTCTAAGAGCTTCTGCCGGGGGTTGGCTTCGCCGCAGTGTGAAGGTGTGTTTTCCAACCTGAAGTTCCAGGGGTACTCAAAGTTTCACGCGAGCCCGAGCAGAACGACAAAGGGCACCTAGGGCCGAATCACACACACAGACACACTTGATATGAGACAGTTCAATTGCAAGGCATCCACAGACAAGGAAAACCGCAAACAAGGAATCCCGCAAACATAGAAAGGAGTTTCGTCGGCTTCGGTGCTTTCCCGTGTCCTTGTGGGGTGAAATATTGAAGCCATTTTGAAGGGAGCCCACATTCTTCTTGGCACAACATGGGCCCCAGAAAAAAGGGCCCCGGAGGGCCGCAAGCCATTTGTTGGCAACCTGATGCTTCAACCCCTTTGCCTCTTCTTTGCCATTGCCCAGACACGTTTGCTCGAGGTATGCTGGTCGCGAGAACGACCTTCCCAACGTGCCAGAAGAGCATTTGATTGCCTTGGACTGTGCGATGAGAGAAGCTTGGTGAAGCATCCAAAGGCAGACAGACTAGATCCAGCAGCCAGCAGATTTAGCAGAGACTTGTTTTCGTTTTGTTTATTTTGGTTGCGAAACACTTCCTCGCAAGTGGCCCGTCCTTTGCGACTGGATGCAGCAGGATGGCATCAGATTCTTATGATTGGGCCGGTACCTTGCCATCATTCGCCCACGAGTTCATGTAATATTTTGTGTGGCGTGTTTTCTGGCCGATATCTCATCCAAAGCCCCAATGGAGGGGGGCGTGCCCCTGGGACAGCGACCACAAACATCTCAAGTAAGCTTAAATGGACAGAGCGTTCTGTTAAGTACTGCATGGAACAAGTGCAGGGCCTCCCGAGTTTGTACACTTGAAGTATCTTGAGCGCTCTTGAAAGACTTGGCTGGCTCATTTGGCTCCCTCATAAAAAGCGTGTTCTCTGTATTTCCCACGCCTTTTATTGCGCGGGTGAGCCAGTGGTGTGGAAGATGTGCCTGCGTGTCTTTCCCTTTTCTGTCTTACTCGCTATTTGACACTCATTCTAGTGAGAGCTTGCATAAACCGAGCCAAGAGTTTTCTGGCAAAGGCCAAGGTAGCTGCCCTTCAGTTTGCGCTTGAGCTTTGGGCATTCAAACCATCTCTGGGGTTGTCCCCTCCTTGATCAGTCGCCCCCCCTTTGGTTTTGAACCATGTTTAGTTGGCAAGTAATTGCTAGTCAAGGCCACAGATGAGATGAACATGCTGTGTCATCCGCGCCTTTTCATGGGATCCCCTTGCTTCCCTCCTTCCCAAAACACCCCCCACAGGTTTTGCCTAAGGAGCAGAACACCAAGACCTGGACCATTTTGCTGCACGCCATGGTTCGCCTTAGGCCGTCGGGGGGAACAACCTGGTTTGTCAGGGTGTTCAACCAACTCAGGTCATGCCTTCAGAGTTGTAAGTGGACATGGAGTTGGTCGCCCTACAATTCTGGCATTGCCTGACATACATGGTCTGGATTGTATGGACCCTTTATGAGGCAATTACTTGATTGATATTGGGCAGCGGATCTTTAGACTTCAACTTGTTGTGAAATCCAGGCTTGTGCAGTGCACCCACCAAAGCTTTTGTTGTTTTGCAGAGGGGTTAACAGCAACCAAGATTAGAGAACCATATCCCAAGTGAGCCATTGATAGCAACCCACAGGAGTTGCTTATGCCGCCGAAAGGGGTTTATCTCACAGAACCTCCGAATGGACAATGCTGGCTTTCGTTTCCCGTGTAAAGCATGAAGCAAGGCACGGTGCTTGGTTTCCTACTTCTTTTGTGTCAACATAGGACTTCAGAAAGTGAACGCTGTCCTCCCGTGTTCTTTTTGAAACCCATGTTGGGATTCCTTTCCACCCCCCACCCACAAGCCGCCACCCACCCCCTTCCCCCCTGCCCCTCACCCCACCCACTCCCCACCCCACCACCCCACGTTGAGAACCCCCCCCCCGTCTCATTCGAGGACTTCTTCGCTTCGGCTTCCGCCCGGGCGTCGGCTTCGGCTGCGGGGTGGCGCCAGCCGCTGGCGCTGGTGGCCGGCAGGGGCCAAGTGACTGCCGCCAGGCGGGAGACGAGCCAGGTGGATCCAAAGCACATGGCTGGTCGAAACCAATGGGATCCCATGGGGTGAAATCAAAAACCACCCATTTTAGGTTTCCTATTTTCGTGTGGGACGTTCAATGGGGGTACGATTTGGAGTTTGACCCAGGGACACATGGGAGGACCATCCAAACGATGGCCGATCGCCACTCTCTGGTGATCGAAAGGTCCTTTGCATGGGGGTGACCATTCGGGAAATCACAAAAAAAGAGTGAGACTTTCACAACTCAATGGATGTTTTTTTGCCGTGGTCATGTTGGGGCCAGGAATCTTGGTCAAGCCCCAGGTGCTGTTTTCTGGTTAAGCAACCTTTTGAGTGAAGGTCGCCACCTTGCAAAACAACCACCCAAACACCGGGCGCCCCCTTTGTTCTCGTGGCCACTGGGGGGAGGCCTTTAAGAGTTCTTGTGTCAGAATCAAACAACAACCCCCGGGTGCAACCCTCTTGCAGCTGGAATTGGGGCTCAGTGTTTCTTGATTTGTTGTGTTTTGTTTTGTTTTGTTTCAATTTGATCTGTTTCGTTTTGGGCTTTCTGTCCAACTTTGGGCTTGGCGGGAGCTGTTTTCTGAAGCTCACAGGAGCATACCGACTTGCTGGGTCCGAGTTTGATTACTCGGTTGGTGCGACACTTTGCGCAGATTCTGAGTTTGCGTATTCCGCTCTGCCATTACACCTCAAGATGAAGACGATCAAGACAAAGCAGGTATTTTCACGACCGATCGGAAGACGGTAAGGGTACCTTGAACCCCACCCCCTTTTATTGCCCCCCCCATCCCCATTTCAGGGGTCATGCTCCCGGAAAGATGCACCGCTTGAGGAAAGTCCTTTTGAGATGGCCAAGTTGATCCTTACACGGGCAACGTGAGGAACTGGGCTTGGGTCCTGATGGTTGCATCGCACTTCCTTGCGAGTCGACTTATGTTTTGCCTATTTGACTACTGGGGGTTCCCAAAGTGGGCCCAAAATGGGCCCAAAATGAAACCCCGTGGAAAAGTAGACAAAAACCTGTGTATATAACCCTATCTCTTTTGAGCCACACCCGTTTGCAAGGCCTGTATGTCGGCCAAGACTTGTCTGGCCAGGTGGCTGGTGGACAACTACCTCCAGGAGGGCTCAGACGAGCTGCCGGCCGAGGCAAGATGCTGCAGTGGTCCTCACACTTATGCACATTGAGTGCAGAGTAGCCTTTATGCTCAAGTTGTTTCGCCAGGAAACCAAAAAGGAGATGGGGCGTGCTGCACGCAGACTTCCTGAGTCCAGTTTTTGGGTGATTTGGCCCAAACGGTACAAGCAAAAAGCGGAAGCAACTCCGCACCCAGTCCTCCCCACCTCAATCGTAGGTAACAGCCTACGCTTGGAAGCACATCAATGGCACAGACACCAAGGCATGCTTTGCAGACATCAAGATAAATACCAAACTCCCCGTAGATCTTTTTGTCTCCTTTTTTGGGACGTGCTCAAGGCCTTATCACGTTTTTCCTGTGGGGAAACGGACGGGGGCGGGGTAAACCGGGGGCTGGGGACTGGACGGAAACCGCCATTAGGCCAAGGAGACAGCGGCGGCCGCCGCGTCCTGCATGCTAGCGGAGTGCGAGCATGAGGCCGGTACCTTTGGTTCAACACCCAGATCGCTCTTTGGTGTGGTTGTCCCTTTTGTTTCAATTATTCTTCGCTATGGAGGGCAAGTTGTCCCTTTGGTTTCAATTTAGCTCCGGAGAACAAAGAAAGGGCTGGCTTCCTTGTCCTTCACTGTCCCAAATGGATCCTGTTTTCAGATTGCAGTCACTGTTTCCCTCGATTTTGGGACGTCTTGGCCTTCAAAATCAACTCCGCAAAATCAGGATGTCCTTTGTTCCTGTTGGGGAACCATTGGGAAGGGAAGCGGGCTCCCAAAGAGAGTCAATTTTCAGCGGTGATGTTGATGCTCGTGTTTGAAGCAGTGAAGACATCATAAAACCATCAAACTTGCAGCCGTGGATGGTGAATTGTGCAAGAGCACGTGATGCATACATTCATTTACACGACAAGATCCCTGCAGAGCTTGTTGTTTTGGCCATTGACCTGTTGCTACTATCTATCCTAGAGCCATTAATTTGGCAACGTTGGCTGGCAAACAAGTGTTGACATCGCCTACGGATTGACCTCAACCACATGTTTAGATTCCTTTGATTGCCTCCCTATGTGACTGCAAACATGTGTGCAGCTGACAACTTGCTCGTGAATTTGTGGAGGACAGAGGATAAACTCGGGGGACTTTGTCTCTTAGGGGAACTGTGGGGACATGCCTCACTTCGTTGCGGCAGGCTGTGTACAGCGGTGAGGCTGCTGAGCGATTGCTGTGCCAGCTGGGGCGCATGGATTTGGCAGGAGCCTGGGAGTCTCCTTTCTTTCTGTTTGCTGGTTATTTTCGGCTTCTTTGCGTTCGCATCTATGTTAATGCTTTTGTTGTTGTATTTGGTATGGTTCTGAATAATGGTGAGCTCAGGTAACATGTGCTCACCACGATGTAGGTCTGCTAGGGGATCCAATTCTTATTTCATGATTTGGAATTTGTGTAGAAATTGCAAGCAAAGTGTTGGTTGTTCATTGGTAGTGGGAACCAACTGGGGATCTGCAGTAAATCCTATGTCGCAGCCAAGCGAGCCGAACGC